CTAAAGTGACGAGGCTCAGCTCGCCGATCATATATGCTCTTCATCCTGTCCTGTGAAGATGATAGCTTCTCTTTAGCCATTTCACCAGCGGCATACAAGCGTCGCCGAAAATCACACACATATGATAACAGGGACTGAGGAGGCTCGGGAGACTTCCAGTCATCCTGGAGAACAGATAAAAGCCCACGCACCTTATGTCCAAACACTAGGTCATTTGGGCTAAAACCTGTGCTCTCCTGTGAAACCTCCCTAGCAGCTAACAGTAACCAAGGCAACCCCTCCTCCCAATCCTTATCCATCTCAGTACAATAAGCTCTCAACAAAGACTTAAGCGTTTGATGGAAACGTTCCAGTGCTCCTTGACTTTGGGCATGATAAGCGCTAGACAAGTTGTGTTTAATATGGAGTTGTTGGAGAACCTGTCCAAAGAGATTAGAGGTGAAATTAGATCCTTGATCACTTTGAATGACCTTAGGGATTCCAAACAGTGAGAAAAACTGAGTCAAAGCTTTTAACACATACTTAGTCGTGATAGACCGGAGAGGATAGGCAGCAGGAAACCTAGTGGTCTGACACATCACAGTCAACAAATAATTACTACCCTTTCTGGAACGAGGCAGAGGACCAACACAGTCAATAATCAGATACTCAAAAGGTTTACTGAGTACAGGAATAGGGAACAGTGGTACCGGCTTAATAGCTTGATTAGGTTTACCAGTTAATTGACAGGTGTGACAAGTTTTGATGAAATCAGAAACATCCCTCTTTAATCTTGGCCAAAAGAAATGTCGTAATATGCGATTGTAGGTTTTTCTCACACCCATATGCCCAGCAACGTCGTTGTGAGAAGTTGTCAGCACCAACTCACGAAGCTTAACTGGTACCACAACCTGACTAATCGCCTCCCCCAGAAAACAACTACCATGAGACATCCACTTTCTCATCAGGACCTCCTCTTGGAGAAAATAGCCCTGTGCGACATCTCCCAACTGTTCCACAGGCACAATTTGGTCCCGCAACTCTTCTAATGTAGGGTCAGTCCGTTGCGCCTCGATTAAATCGGAGCGGGATACAGATAACGGGATAACAGGGAAAACAGTAACAGACTTCTTTATGGTATTCTCGTTAGCCAGCTCCGTGACCAGGTCGTCATGGATCATAGAACGCGTCACTGCACACGCAGAAAACACCTCTGGGAAATTCTGCGCACTCTCATCAGGAATCCCTACAATTGACGGCTTAGTGGAAACCACTAAAGATGGAGACACGATAGGCCACACACGCTCCCCAGCCAAGTTATTTCCAAGGATCACGTCAATACCCTCAATAGGCAATGAAGGACGCACCCCCACAACAACCTCACCTTTCACCAGTCCACAATCCAACATCAGTTTATGCAATGGAACTGACAAAGTGTTCAAACCTATTCCCCTAATTAGAACACTATTCCCCGAATCAGTCTCCGCAGAGAAGGGTAACACAGATTCCAACAAATGATTCAGAGGCACCTGTGTCTCTTAGGATCTTTACTGGCACTAGGTTCTTACTTCCTACCATAGACACAAAACCCTCCGTAACGAAAGGTAAATAGTCGGGATCAATATAACCCTTCACCTGGCTCCGGGCATGAGACAATGCGTCATGAGTGAACTGATGTGGAACAGGCGCGGCTAACGCTGCAGGCCTCGATTTACCATAAGCACCTGTACTGAATTTACCCCTAGACCTAAGAATCGGACATTCATTTTTCCAATGACCTAATTCTTGACAGTAGTGACATTCTTGACCAACGTCAGTTTTACCACGGGTATCAGGCTCAACCCTAGTTGAATGAAACTCTGCCCGGGAACCGAAGTATCTCGGCGAGCGAGGCCCAAATCTCTGCGAACGCCCCCACTCACTCCGAATACGGGGTTCTGCAAAAACATTTTTGTGAGTCAACACATATTCATCTGCCAAAACCGCAGCTTCAGCAACAGTCTTTATTTTTAGTTCGTTAATGTACGTCGCTATACGATCAGGGATTGTGTCCTTAAATTGTTCTAACATAATCAGATCACACAGCCCTTGGAAAGTCATAACTGCAGAGGCAGAACACCAGCGATTGAACTGTGAAGATAATATTCGCGCAAACTCAACATGAGTCTGCTGATCATCCCTTTTTAAAGTTCTAAATCGTTGGCGGTAAGCCTCAGGGACCAATTCGTAACTCTGTAACACAGCCGTTTTAACCTTCTCATAACTAACACTGTCTGCTACACTAAGAGCTGAATATGCTTCTTGCGCTTTACCAGTCAGCACACACTGCAACATCAAAGTGCGATCAGAATCAGGCCAACTCCTAGCGTCAGCAACACGCTCAAACAACGAAAAGAATGTCTCCGGGTCCTTTTCATTAAACTGGGGCAACAACCGTAAATTCCCAACAATATCAAATGTGTCTGGATTACGACCAAAAGAGGAACGACCCCTAGGTAACTCTGGGTCACCTTCCCAGAGCAAACTCTCCCCTGAGAGCTTTCCTTCCCTAACCAACTCTAGTCGCTCTTGTTGCAGCTTAATTTTAGCACGCTCCATATCCTGTTTAAATTCCAATTCCCTTTCATATTTTACACGATCATGCTCCATTTTAGCTTGTTCATGCTCCATTTTAGCTCTTTGTCCATTTTTTTCATGCTCTAGCTGTAACAGAAGCAGTTCTTTCTGCTGTTCAAAAAGAAGACCACTATGATTAACCGATGGAGCGGTCATTGTAACATATCGGGGAGACAACGTGTCCTCAGCAGAGGCTGCCCCAGTGGTAACATCCAGAATACCACTCTCCATCAAATTGGCCTTCAATATTAACCTAATATAATTTTTTAGGCGTTTATCACTAATTTCAACCTTGTAGTGTTCAGCAACCTTCAACAGCTGTTCTTTAGTACATAATTCTAACAGTTCTTCTGATGGAAAGCGAATGAACTCGTCTACATTAGACGCCATAATCAGGAAAATAAATAAATATATATATATCATAGTAATCTTGCTCAACCCCTCTGCTGAGCACACCAGACACAAGAGAAATGACAATCACACCGAGCACCACAGAAAAGAGCTGGGATATGGAGCTTCCCCCAAAACCTACAATAACTCAACCCTAGTCTTCGTGCAGATTCGCGGTGGGTAATTACGCACTGTAGCCCGCTGGCAAGGAATTAAACCCCCCAGCATGCTGGTAGATTCCCCCAAGCCACGGATGTGCCCCCGAGACAACTGCTCAGTCCACAGACACCACACAAAAATAACAAACATTTAACCATGCCCAACGTATCCCAAAACAAAACACGTCACTAAGCCTATCAGGGGAAAAGCTATAGCTCCGGGTAGCAAATGTCACTACCCTACCCAATCTCCCACTGAGGTACACAGCCGATTGTACTCACCTCCTCAGCCCGATGTCCCAACAGCGAGTAGAGCAAGAGTTTCCAAGCTGGGCAGGGACTGGAAACTAACCAATGTATTCTCTCCAACGCAGTACACAACCCAAAGACAACCAATACTGGGCCTATCAAACTCAACCAAACTAACAAAATTTACCAAAAAAAAACCTACAGAATTGGACATTAACTCCACGTTCTCCCAAACACAACCAGTTCAATATCCCGGACGAGCCCCCACTTGTCACGAACCGGCTCAAGTTCGTAACAAAAGGGAGACACGTGGAGACAAGGAGTACTCAAAGTATATATTTATTAATTAAAGTAAACTAACTGAAATAACAATGGGGTGTGTAATCAGTAATCAGTAGTGTAAGTGAGTGTTTGCTTGCATAAATGTAATATAGAAAAGTGTTGAGAAGTGCCAAAGCAAACAACCCAAAAAGGCCACAAAAATATCACAACCAAAATCAAAGTATCTGCCTGGAGAGAGTCTCCCCAATGAATGTGGAAGAGGTCCATTTATGCTGGGACACACCCGGCCCAGGTGTTTCCCAAGTAGCTGACGACCCTCCCAACTCCGCCCACCGGCATCCTAATAAGGAAACAAGAGCAAAGAGAGAATACGGCAGACAGAGTGGGAGGGTCGTCACACGAGTCATATATCGACATAACCTGAAAGGCCGCTCAGCAAGGAAGAAGCCACTGCTCCAAAACCACCATAAAAAAGCCAGACTACGGTTTGCAACTGCACATGGGGACAAAGATCGTACTTTTTGGAGAAATGTCCTCTGGTCTGATGAAACAAAAATAGAACTGTTTGGGCATAATGACCATCGTTATGTTTGGAGGAAAAAGGGGGTCGCTTGCAAGCCCAAAGAACACCATCCCAACCGTGAATCACGGGGGTGGCAGCATCATGCTGTGGGGGTGCTTTTCTGCAGGAGGGACTGGTGCACTTCACAAAATAGATGGCATCATGAGGAAGGACAATTATGTGGATATATTGAAGCAACATCTCAAGACATCAGTCAGGAAGTTAAAGCTTGGTCGCAAATGGGTCTTCCAAATGGACAAAGACCCCAAGCATACTTCCAAAGTTGTGGCAAAATGGCTTAAGGACAACAAAGTCAAGGTATTGGAGTGGCCATCACAAAGCCCTGACCTCAATCCTATAGAAAATGTGTGGTCAGAACTGAAAAAGCGTGTGCGAGCAAGGAGGCCTACAAACCTGACTCAGTTACACCAGCTCTGTCAGGAGGAATGGGCCAATATTCACCCAACTCATTGTGGGAAGCTTGTGGAAGGCTACCCAAAACATTTGACTCAAGTTAAACAATTTAAAGGCAATGCTACCAAATACTAATTGAGTGTATGTAAACTTCTGACCCACTGGGTTAGATTCTCTTAGTCTGTTTGTTACCCTTATCTTTGAACAGGCATTAATAGTGAAATGAATTATAATTAAATGAAGTATAAAAAGGCCTTTTTTATAACACCACTAACACACCTCTCTTGCTTGCTCTCTCTCTGCTTCAGGTGGTGCTCGTGTAGGAAGAGGGAGAGAGAAGGAAGCTGGAAATGGAACTGCCAAATCATGCCAAACAACTGCTGCTGCAACTCAACCAGCAGAGGGCCAAGGGCTTCCTGTGTGATATCATCATTGTGGTGGAGAATGCTCTGTTCCGAGCCCACAAGAACATTCTGGCAGCCAGCAGTATCTACTTCAAGTTCCTGGTCCTCCACGACAACCTCATTAACCTGGACACAGAGATGGTGAATCCCTCTGTGTTCCGACAGGTCCTGGACTTCATCTACACGGGGAAGCTCCTGTCCTCGGCGGGTCAGAGCTACAGTGCCCTCTTGACCGCAGCCAGCTACCTCCAGCTCCATGATCTCGCTGCGCTCTGCAGGAAGAAGCTCAAGCGAGGCGGCAGCAAGCCCCTGCCAGGTAAACCCTCCACCCCGGGTCTGCTCAGCCAACTACGGCACAACAACCAGTGCCTCTCGTCCTCCACCCCTGCCGCCTACAACAACTACTACACAACCCCCGCCCCCTCCGACGCAGGCCAGACGCAGCCTGGCGAAAGCCACCGGTACAAGCTCTCGGACGACAAGATGTTAATCGGGAGTCCCGCTGGAAAGAATGGGACCAGAAGGAACGGTAGTAACGGAGACCTCCCTAGCGGTGGGGAGCTAGACCTCGGGCTTGACCTGTCCAAGAAGAGCCCTCTCTTGGCAGTCACTGCAACAGACACACTCAGCCCACACAGCAACTCCCAGGAGTCCCCTCAATCTGCCTCAGTATCCACAACCAACAGTGCCTCACTGGATAATTCCACCACCACTCTGCCTGGTCTATACACCACTGGCCCAGAGTCCATGGAGCTCACACCCACCCCAAGAGCCCCCGAGGACAGCAAGGCCCAGCCCGATGCCCCACCGCCCCGCAAGAGCTCACGCCAAGTAGCCCGCAAGAAGGAGTGGCACAAGAGAGAGGCTTCTGGCCTGAAGGCTGAAGATCGTGACAGACCCCTGGTCAAAGGTGTGATCGTGGGGCCTAAAGAGGGCAGAGGCGAGGGCAGTGGGAGCAGCTTCGCCTCAGACCAGTCCTTCCAGTATAAAGAGGAGGAGGAGGGAGGGGAGAATGGGCAGGAGCACAGCGATGAGAGCAGGCAGAGTGATGGAGAGAGTGGAGGAAGAGAAGGTAGAGGAGGCGGGCACCACAGCGCCAACTATGTGTACCGGCAGGAAGGCTTTGAGCCAGCGTTCGGGGACAACCTGTATGTGTGCATCCCCTGTGGGAAGGGCTTTCCCAGCTCGGAGCAGCTCAACGCCCACGTGTACACTCACACGGAGGATGAGCTCTACATCAAAGAGGAGGGAGGGACCTTTGTGAAAGAGGAAGAGGAGGCCGAGGACCTCTCGGCCCCAGTGGCACCCACCACCTTCGGCAGCTCTGAGCCGCGGCCCTTCAAGTGCACCGTCTGCAGTAAAAGCTACAAAGACCCGCCGACCCTGAAGCTGCATGAGAATAGCCACTGGCTGACCCGACCCTTCCCCTGTAACATCTGCGGGAAGATGTTCACCCAACGAGGCACCATGACACGCCACATGCGGAGCCACCTGGGCCTAAAGCCGCTTGCATGCGATGAGTGTGGCATGCGCTTCACGCGCCAATACCGTCTGACGGAGCACATGCATGTCCACTCAGGGGAGAAGCCGTACGAATGCCATCTGTGCGGCGGAAAGTTCACCCAGCAACGCAACCTCATCAGCCACCTGAGAATGCACACTGGCATGCTCTCTTTAAAAAAAATCCTGCTCTCTTTTTAAGTCCTGCTCTCTTTAAAAAAAAAATCCCAATCTCACAACCAAACAAACGTACATTTACACTCACGGAGAAACACCAGTACAAACACACAAACTGATTCCTATACACAAACACCTGGCTTAGTGTATGTAGTGGTTGTCCAGAGGTCAGCCTGTGGCAGCAGGATGGGCTTGGAAAACAAACCTAGATGTCGATCACCTCTGGAAGTCTAGAAGGGCGGTGTACATCCTCTCTCACTCCTATTTCTCTCTCTCTCTCTCTCTCTCTAGGCACCTACGTTGGGTGTGAGGGCTTGCCCAATGGTTGTCTTGGAAATGTGACATCTTTACCTGGGAGTATTTAGGCCTTTGAGTTTTTCAAACTGATCTCTTCTGGGTATATTCAGGGTTCCCTCTATTCTACAACCTCATTTTTCAACCAAGAAGACCAACTACGTTATGCCTCCTTTTAATTTAAACAGGTCTAATCTATTCACTCTGTCAATGATGTACACTACAAAATAATAATAACCAAACAGCAGCTATGTGTCGAATGCTAAAGTGATTGAACCTTGAACTAAAAGTTCAATGTCCGAGTGAGTTGAGGTTCTGACTAACCAGGAATCAATTTCATTTACTCCAGACACGCACACTCACCTTAAAGGAAAAGTCCACTTAAAAACTAGGTTTGGTATTGTTTTCATTAGTCAACTGTTAATACAGTCCCAAATATGTTTTGAATGTCAGCAGTCAAGTTTTCAAAAAGTATAGTGTCACTTGCCGCATCATCATATGATGATGCAAAATGCATTGTGTGGCGGCCTAGGGAAGACCATCACATATAATTGTAGAGGCAAGTAAAATAGTACAGTACTAATGTGCAAACGCAAATAGTGACTGGGTAGTGTCATGTGTTGACTGCGACCTGGTGTTGTTGAAGGCCTGGATGGCAGTGGGCAAGAAGGATTAATACAGTGGCTTGCGAAAGTATTCACCCCCCTTGGCATTTTTGCAGCGCGCACAGAGTTGATCAGGCTGTTGATTGTGGCCTTTGGAATGTTGTTCCACTCCTCTTCAATGGCTGTGCGAAGTTGCTGGATATTGGCGGGAACTGGAACACCTGTCGTACACGTCGATCCAGAGCATCCCAAACATGCTCAATGGGTGACATGTCTGGTGAGTATGCAGGCCATGGAAGAACTGGGACATTTTCAACTTCCAGGAATTATGTACAGATCCTTGTGACATCGGGCCGTGCATTATCGTGCTGAAACATAAGGTGATGGCAGCGCATGAAAGGCACGACAACAGGCCTCAGGATCTCGTCACAGTATCTCTGTGCATTCAAATTGCCATCGATAAAATGCAATTGTGTTCGTTGTCAGTAGCTTATGCCTGCCCATACCATAACCCCACAGCCACCATGGGGCACTCTGTTCACAACGTTGACATCGCCCAAACGACGTCATGAGCTGTCTGCCTGGGTTCATCCATGAAGAGCACACTTCTCCAGTGTGCCAGTGGCCATGAGAGTGAGCATTTGCTCAATGAGTTTGGTTACGACGCCGAACTGCAGTCAGGTCAAGAACCTGGTGAGGACGACGAGCACATAGATGATCTTCCCTGAGACAGGTTGTGCAGAAATCCTTCGGTTGTGCAAACCCACAGCTTCATCAGGTGTCCGGGTGGCTCGTCTCAGACCACCCCCAGGCAAAGAAGCCAGATGTGGAGGTCCTGGGCTGGCATGGTTACACGTGGTCTAAGATTGTGAGGCCGGTAGGATGTATTGCCAAATTCTCTAAAATGACATTGGAGGCGGCTTATGGTAGAGAAATGAACATTTTAATTATCTGGCAACAACTCTGTTGGACATTCTTGCAGTCACACAACTACGGACCATAAAACTACGGACCGCAAAACTACAGACCACAAAACTACTGACCACAACCACACAATAACTGACCACAGCTACTGACCAGAACAACAAAACTGACCACAGCCATACAACTACTGACCACAACTACTAAACACAACCAAACAACTACTGACCACTATTGACCAGAACTACTGACCACAGCCATACAACTACTGACCACAACTACTGCCCACATCCATACAACTACTGACCACAGTCATACAACTACTGACCACAGCCATACAACTACTGACCACAACTACTGACCACAGCCATACAACTACTGACCACAGCCATACCACTACTGACCACAACTACTGACAACAGCCCATTACTACTAACCCCGTGATGAACAAAGCAACTCTGACACAAACCACTGACCACAACCACACAACCAGTGACACAACTCTGACCACAGCACTACACTATCACAACTACGCCACAGCTTCACATTACCACACAATACTGACACACACTGACCAGTCATACTAGAGCCACAGACACCCGCATTCAACACACAACTACTGAACCACAAACACGCACACAACACTGACCACACAAATACTGACCAGAGTACTATCAAACTGACACAACTACTGACACAGTCGGCCCAAATAATTGCAACACACTACGACCCAACCACTGACCACAGAACATGACACAACTACTATGACTCACACATGGCCACAGCCAACAACTTCTAACCACAACTACTGACCCAAAACCCACTGACCAAAAGCACAACTACTGACCACAGCCATACAATACTGACCACGCCATAATACTGACCACAACCAACAACTACTGACCACAGCCATATTGACAGCAGCCAAAATACTGCCAACAACAACTACTGACAAGCCACAACTACTGAACCCAAACTACTGACCAACAGCCAACTACTGACCACACCATCACAAACTGACCACACAGCCATACAACTACTGACCACAGCCATACATACTGACCACAACTACTGACCACAGCCAACACACTGACCACAGCCAAACTACTGACCACAGCCATACAAACTACTGACCACAACACCATGAACAAACACTACCACAGCACATACAACTACTGACCACAGCATTACAACTACTGACCACAGCCTTAAAAGTACTGACCACAGCCATACAACTACTGACCACAACTACTGACCACAACAACACCACTACTCACTGCAGACATATAACTACTGACCATAGCCATACAACTACTGACCACAGAATACCAACACTACACACTACTGACCACAGCCACACTACTGACCACAACTACTGACCATAGCCATACTACTAACCACAACTACTGAACACAACTACTGAACACAACCACACAACTTTTGAACACAACTACTGACCACAACCATACAACTACTGACCACAACTACTGACCACAGCCATACATATACTGACCACAACTACTGACCACAGCCATACAACTACTGACCACAACTACTGACCACAGCCATACAATTACTGACCACAGCATACAACTACTGACCACAACTACTGACCACAGCCATACAACCTTTTAAAAAACAACTACTGACCACAACCACTGGACACAACACCACTACTGACCACAGCCATACAACTAATGACCACAGCCATACAACTACTGACCACAGCCATACAACTATTGATCACAACTACTGTCCACATCCACACTACTGACCACAACTACAGACAATAGCCATACTACTAACCACAACTACTGAACACAACTACTGAACACAACCACACAACTTTTGAACACATCTACTGACCACTATTGACCAGAACTATAGCCCAGAACCATACAACAAGTGACCACAACTACTGACCACAGCCATACAACAACTGACCACAGCCATACAACTATTGACCAAAGCCATACAACTATTGACCACAGCCATACAACTACTGACCACAGCCATACAACTACTGACCACAGCAATACAACTACTGACCACAACTACTGACCTCAGCCATACAAGTACTGACCACAACTAACTTGACCCAGCCAACAACTACTGACCACAACTACTGACCACAGCCCAAAACAACTACTGACCACAACTACTGACCCATACCACAACTACTGACCACAGCCATACAACTACTGATCACACACTACTGACCACAGCCACACATACTGACCACAACTACTGACCACAGCCATAACTACTACCACAACTACATATGAACCAAACTACGTAACCACCATACAACTTTTGACCACAGCATACAACTACTGACCACAGAATACAACTACTGCCACAATACGACACCAACAATGCAACTACGACCACAAGCATCAACTATACCACAGCCAACAACATACTGACCACAAGCTACTACCTACTGACCAACTACTGACCAAAAACTACTGACCACAGCCATACAAAACTACTGACACACAACACTAGACCAGCCTACAACTAACTGACCACAGCCAAACTATGACTACTGACCACAACTACTGACCACATCAGCCATACAGTACTGACCACAACTACTGACCACAGCCATACAACTACTGACCACCATTGACCAGAACTAAACGACTACTGACCACACATACTGACTAGCTGACCACAACTACTGACCACAGCCATACAACTACTGATCACAACTACTGACCACAGCCATACAAGTACTGACCACAACTACTGACCACAGCCATACAACTACTGACCACACTACTGACCCTATGACCACGAGCTACTAAACTACTGACCACAGCATTACAACTACTGACCACAGCCATACAACTACTGACCACAGCCTAACTACTACCACACCATGTCACAACTACTGACCACAGCCCATACAACTACTGACCACAGCCATACAACTACTAACCACAACTATGACCATAAAGCTACTGACCACAACCACGAACACAACCACAACTACTGACCACTTTTGACCAGAACCTACTGACCCAGCCCGATACAACTATGGAACAAGTATGCACTCCCTAACTGTATGTCGCTCTGGATTAGAGCGTTTGCTAAATGACTAAAATGTAAATGTATCTACTGACCACAGCATACAACTACTGACCACATCCATAAAACTACTGTCCCACAACTACTGACCACAGCCATACAAACTATTGACCACAACCACTGAACACAGCGACACCACTACTGACCACATCCATACAACTACTGACCACAGCCATACAAACTACTGTCCACAACTACTGACCCACAAGCCCATACAACTATTGACCACAACCACTGAACACAGCGACACCACTACTGACCACATCCATACAACTACTGACCACAGCCATACAACTACTGACCACAACTATTGACTACAGC